CCCAACACTTTGGGAGGCTGAGGTGAGCAGATTACCAGAGGTCAGGAATTCGAGACCAGTCTGGCCAATATGGTGAAATGCTATCTCTACTAAAAATACAAAAAGTTTGGCGTGATGGCTCATGCCTGTAGTCCAGCTACTTGGGAGGCTGAGGCATGAGACTTGCCTGAACCCAGAAGGCAGATGTTGCAGTGAACCAAGATCGCACCACTGCACTCCAGCCTGGACTAGACAGAGAGACTTCATCTTAAAAAAAAAAAGTATCTCTACATATAAGCACACATACATATATACTCCTATACATATGTATCTGTATGTATCCATTGAAAGAGATTACATTTAATTCAAGATTGTAAATTCTATTTTTCTTTTTTTTTTTGTGCAAAAAATTTTTTTTAATTTTTATTTTAGGTTCAGGAGTACACATGCAGGTTTGTTGTGAATTCTATTTCAATTAAAATTTAGATTAGGTATCATTTGAAAACTGCTAGTACTTTACCAACATGTCTGCATTTCTTTCTTAAGATACAAAATCTGTAGGAGTCTAAATCATGATAGAAAAAAAAATGTGGAAGGATACTACTACCTCCATCAATTCATGTTCTTCCATTTACACTGTTCAAATATGGAATGTCCTATTCTCCTCTGTCCTTTCAAACAATTGAACTAAACAAATGTTTAAGTGTCTTAAAAATGGAAGACATTGTATCATTTCAGCTGGGTCAATAAAAATTAGAAAAGAATCTCTTTTTCTCTATGCTTTCCTGAAATCGAAGAGAGATTATTTTATACCCAACACACTGATGTTAACAATATCTATTTAGGCTAGACCTAAGACATAGATGTTTAATTTCATATTCTGTCTTCCTAACAGAGTCCCTTCTGTGAAATAACTTGCATCCAAAATACAAGCATTTGCTGCTGAGATCAGGCAAAGGCTTAATCTCTGAAAAGCACTCACAGAAGATTAAACCAGTGAATTTACAATCTGTTCAACAGTGAGGTTTCTCTGAGTTTTTCTCCCCAATCATCTCCCCGGAAATTTTCTCCCTGGGAATCTATACAACAGTTTTCCAAACAATAGTCATAATGCATTCATTCACAGGATCACTACTCAGAAGCACATAAATAAATCAATACACAGCCAGAACCATCCAAACATGTTTTGACAGATCCAAGCCAACCAATTGCAAAGCTTCTGAATATGCACACCCCACAGGCCTATGTAGCACCAGCCTTTGGCTCCAGTGTATGTCCCTTTCCTTCCTGTAGGCTTAGTTCTAGCTTTTGAGGAAAGAAAAATAAAGCCATTAGTTGAATGGATCAACTTCCAGCAGGGTGAAAAGAGAAAGATTGTCATATAAGTCCCTTCAAACAAACATTTGCTTAGTAAAAAGGCAAGCAACTTAGTTATTAAAGACAATGTAACAAAAATTCAGTCTATTTTAATTTTTCAAAGATTGAAAGAAGAAAATATTCAGATATGCTACTTTAATCAAATTATAAACCATAAACAATAGGATGGCTATTATCACGAAACAGCTAAGTGTTGGCAATGATGTGCAGAAATTAGAATCTGTGCATTGCTGATAGGAATGTAAAATTGTACCACCACTGTGGGAAACAGCATGGTGGTTCCAAAAAAATTAAAATTAGGATTATCATACAATTAGCAATTCTACTTCTGGGTACATATCCAAAAGAATTCAAAGCAAGGCCTCAAAGAGATACCTATACATCCTCATAGCAGTACAGATGCATAGGTAAAATGCAGCCTATACATACCATGAAATGCTATTCAGCCTTAAAAAGGAAGGAAGTTGCCGAGTGCACAGTTGGTTCACACCTGTAATCCCAGCACTTTGGGAGGCTGAGGCAGGAGGACTGCTTAAACTAAGGAGGTCGAGACCAGCTGGGGCAACATAGTGAGATCCTGTCTCCACTAAAAATAAAATAAAAAAAAATTAGACCAGGTGTGCTTGCACATACCTGTGGTCCCAGCTACTTGGGAGGCTGAGGCAGGAGGATTGTTTGAGCCTGGAAAGTCAAAGCTGCAGTGAGCCCTGATCATACCACTGTACTCCAGCCTGGGCAACAGAGCGAGACCCTGCCTCAAAAAAGAAAGAAAAAAGGGCAGGGAGAAGGGATGGTGGCTCATGCCTGTAATCTCAGCACTTTGGGAGGCTGAGGCGAGTGTATCATTTGAGGTCAGGAGTTTGAGACCAGTCTGGCCAACATGGTGAGACACCATTTCTACTCAAAATACAAAAATTAGCTGGGTATCGTGGCAAGCACCTGTAATCCTAGCTACTTAGGAGGCCAAGGTAGGAGAATTGTTTGAACCCAGGAGGTAGAGGTTACAGTGAGCCAAGATCATGCCACTGCACTCCAGCATGGGTGACACAGTGAGACTCCATCTCAAAAAAAAAAAAAAAAAAAAAAAAAAGGGAAGGAAATTCTGCAGTATATAACAACTTAGATAAACCTTGAGGACAGACATTATGCTAATAAAATAAGCCAATCACAAAGAGAGAAATAGTTTTGGTTTTACAAGACAAAAGGAGCTATAGAGATGGATGGTCATGATGGCTGTATATTATGAATGTATTTAATACCACTCAATTGTATCCTTGAAATGGTTGAGATGGTAAATTTTATATTATGTGTTACAATTCTAAAAACTGAAGAAAACAGTTTTTTTAAAAATCATAAACTGGCTAGCATAAAGAACACTACAGCTCAAAGCCAAACAATGCCCATTTTGTTTTTAATTTTTAACTTTCTGTCCACGTTGACTCCATTAGATGACATATTTCTGAGTAATGAGGTCATTTTGGTCTTAACATTTTATAAAATTCTAGAATAAAAATAGAAGCTTATGGGAAAAGAGGAGATTGTTGGGTAGGAGGAATATATTATTAACTACTCCAAGTGTCAATTAATAATGCATCCTTAATTATTTGCCAACACACAAGAAACATGGCCAAGGAAACAGTTTCTGGGAAGCACCACAATTACTGATTTGATCATTTATAAAGTATTTTTCTGTACCTACTCTTTGGTTAAAACTGGGGTATCGTGAGCTATAATTATGCCACTGCACTCTAGCCTGAGCAAGACCTTGTTGCTCAAAAAAAAAAAATAAATAAAAAATAAAAAAGAAACACCAAAAACTGTAGCATACATTGCAGAATATAAACAAATATAAAAATCTAAAGGATAGGAAAAGTACCTGTAAGTGGCTACTCAGGAGGCTGAGGCAGGAGGATTGCTTGAGCCTAGGGGGCCTAGGCTGCAGTGAGCTATAATTGAGCCACAGCATTCCAGCCTGAGCAATGGAGTGAATATGCATACCCCACCTCAAAAAAAAAAAAAAAAAAAAAAAATCAGTAAAATAATATCAAACTAAACAAAATAAGGCAGTGGTATAAGAGTAGGTATTAGGGAATACTTATATTAGCGAGATTTGACCAGTTTAGAGAAGGCATCCTCAAGAAATGATACTTGTGCTGTGTTCTGAAGGAGGAGTAGATGTTAACTTGGCAAAGAAAGGAGAGATGGGAGACGGTTGTCCAGACAGAAGAAACAGCAAGTGCAGAGGCCCTGTGGTGGAAGGGAGACTGGTAAAATGAAGGACCCAATTAAGGCTAGCATGGCTCGAGCAGTGACAGAGAGAAACAGATCATGGTTTGAGGTGAAGAGAGAGGCCTGTCCTTGTTAGGTTTTTCTGTGTTAAGAAGTCTTTAACATTATCCTAAGTATCCTAAGAGGAATAACAGGATATATTTAAATAAGAGTATATATCTAAATCTAAGCAATGCATTATCTCCTCTTTTTGGCTGTCAAAATGTACCTCAAGATCGACACATCTAAAACCTAAATCATGATCTCCCCCTAAAAAAAACCTGTCTTCCTTCAGTATCCCTTTTGTCAGTGAAGAGCACTAAGTTACTTAAGTCAGAAATCTAAGACTCCTCTCTTCTCTACTTCATATTCTACCCATCATCAAGTTCTGCTGACTACATCTCCTAAATATTCTTGAATTAATGCCTTTCTATCCTTTTTACCAACATAACTCTAAGTAAGCCACCATCAACCTATGACATGGACAACTAGATTAAATTCCTAACCAATACCCCAAATCTACCTTGGTACCCCTTCAAGCCATTCTTCATATTTCAGTTGAGTGTTCTTATCAAAAAAGCAAATCTGCCAGGCAAGGGAGGCTGAGGTGGGTGGATCACTTGAGGTCACAAGTCTGAGACCAGCCTGGCCAACATGGTGAAACCCCATCTCTACCCAAAATACAAAAATTAGCCTGGTATTGTAGTGTACACCTGTAATCCCAGCTACTCAGGAGGCTGAGACGGGAGAATCACTCAAACCTGGGAAGCTGCAGAGAGCCAAGATCATGCCACCACACTCCAGCCTAGGCAACAGAGTGAGGCTCCATCTCAAAAAGAAAAAAAGAAAATCTGACTGTGTCCTTCCTTGCTTAAAAACGCTTTAATGACAGCTAGGTGCAGTGGCTCACACCTCTAACCTCAGCACTTTGGGAGGCTAAGGAGGGTGGATCACAAGGTCAAGAGATCGACACCACCCTGGCCAACATGGTGAAACCCCATCTCTACTAAAAATACAAAAAAATTAGCTGGGCATGGTGGCATGCATCTGTAGTCCCAGCTACTCGGGAGGCTGAGGCAGGAGAATCACTTAAACCTGGGAGGCAGAGGTTGCAATAAGCCGAGATCGAGCCATTACACTCCAGCCTGGCAACAGAGGGCGACTCCATCTCAAAAAGAAAAAAAAAAAAAAAAAAAAAAACTTTTAATGACTACTTATTCCTCTTAAGATACTTAGGATAACAGCAAACACTTCTTAACATGACCTATGAAAACCTAACAAGGACAGGCCTATCTCTTCACCTCAAACCATGATCTTTTTCTGTCACTGCTTAAGCCATGCTAGCCTTAATTGGGTCCTTCATTTTACCAGTCTCCCTTCCACCATAGGGCCTCTGCACTTGCTGCTTCTTCTGTCTGGACAACCGTCTCCCATCTCTCCTTTCTTTGCCAAGTTAACATCTACTCCTCCTTCAGAACATAGCACAAGTATCATTTCTTGAGGATGCCTTCTCTAAACTGGTCAAATCTCGCTAATATAAGTATTCCCTAATATCTACTCTTATACTGCTGTCACAGGTGCAATTTAAACACTTAACATTTCTGTCCTCTCTGTCAGACCCTCAGTTCCATGGGGAAGGGTATCACAGCAGTTTTTGCTCCATATAATATCCCACTGCCTACGTGGCTCAATAAAAATGTGTTGTATGAACGAACAAATGCATGAACCATGCTTGAGTGTCAGAAATTAACTAGATTGCCTAAGTCAAAGTTCAGTGGCCAGCAATCACAAAACATTTACCACTAGGTCAAACTCCCATCACCATTCACTATACTTTTCTTTAGCAAGATCCCTTTAACTAGGATAATGAAGTTTACTTATGACAGGCCTTCTTCTGGTGGCTTCCTATTTACATGAAGAAACTGAGGGAATGTGCTCTCTTTCTGGGTCCACAAGGGGGCGTAGTTTTAAGGGCAAGAACTTTCCAAGTGCCATGCCCTCCTCCCATCTCTCTCCATCTGGGAGATTTAAAGGTCTCGGTTTTAATTTTCTCGGGTGCAGGAAAGGGTCAAAAGTCAATCAATCCAGAGGAAGTTTAAAGGGGTTTAAGGGAACTCTTTTCATTGGCCAGGGGGCTTGGAGAAGGAGGGAATTCCTCCCAGCTTAAAAGTCCTTGTCCCCACACCCGGCAGATACTCCCTCTGGAGTCCCTTTCCACACACTCTCGTGGTAGCCTGTCTTTCCCTCCCAAACTCCATCCCTCTCACAATTCCCTTCCACTCAGTGTGGAAGCTGCTTTCCTCTCCTGGATTCCATCTTTCTGGATTCTCTCACTCAGTGTGAGAGGAGTTTTCCTTCTCTGGTTTTCCCCCTCTGGGAACCCTTCTCACTCAGTGGGAGAGCGGGTTTTCTTTCTCTCATTCAGTGTGAGAGTTGGCTATTTCTTACTCTCTTTTCTCTTTCTCCACCTAAATAAATCACTTTTCTGCAAAAGCTTTCTGAGTCTAATATTTACTTTACAAGCGCACCTGCCGTGGTCCCCTCTCTCATTCTTGAGAGAGCGGTGGGAAACCAAGAACCTTGGAGAAACGTCCTCTCAGGGGAGCTAAGGGCTCCCCTGAACCCCAAAATGCTAACAAAACCATCAAAAACTCAAATTCCATTGAATAAAATAAAGCAATCTAAGAATGTCTGATTGTAGCTTTCATAACAAAACTATAATATTAGTTTTTTAAAGTTTTTCTTAATATCTCATTGTTAAGTCCCAAAGCAAAGACAAATCATCCTTGGTTTGTCTTGAAATCTGAACCTCTCACTCAGCTTCTCCCAAGATAAATCACTGAAAATAAAGCTCTACCAAAAATAACACTTAAAGAAGTTAAAGTCTCTAGACACTTAAAAAAATAAATGAAAAAAACATCAGTGGAAAAAGAAGAAATGAGGGCAATGTTTGGATGAAAAACCCTCTTTGACCACACAAAACAAGAAACACATCTTCCTCATGAATTCTGCCAAGGTCAATTCTCAGCCTTATTCACAAAATTCTTGGATAGCTTCCTTGGCCTAAAAACAACAACAACAAAAAACCCCCACATGATTTCAGTGACTATTCTAAAGCCTGAGTATGGATATGGTCACCTAGGGAAATTGCCCATTTTGATGGTAAGCAACAGTTCTCAGTGATGTTTCAATGATTTTTCTTAAGTCATAAAAACAGTAGATATTATAATTCATTTTTTAAAAGGTAAATGAATGGAAAATATAAGGCCCTGTTTTAAATAGAAGCTGCAGTATCAGAAATTAGAGATTTAGAAAACGATAAACATTTCTAAAGAAATAATGAGAATTAAAGAAAACACTGGTTCTTCAGATTCCAAAATGGCCAAATTACAAGAAACTTTAGTAATACTATACAAATGTCAATTTCCTGATTTCAATATTATACTACAGTTACGTAAGATGCCACCACTGGGGGGAGCTAGGGAAAGGATTCAAGGGACTCTGCTATTTTTACAACCTTCCATGTATCTACAATCATTTCAAAATACAGTGTTTAAAAAATATTAGCGGGGAGTATTCAGGATAATACAACCGTAATTTTAAGTAGTGTATAGCACTTTCCTGGGCACTGTGAGTCATTCTAGTGAATTATTGAACCTAAATGGATCATGCAAACTCCTAGATGTGCAGCCAGTGGTCAGGAGCACAGGTAGCGTCGGGACCCCCAAATTTGTGGCTCATGTCTTAAGTGAGGATAGTCTCGTGGGGGACTATGATCTTAACCTATAAAGTCTATGTTAACTCCCAGTAGTGTCAGAATTACATTTCAACAACTTCGAGGTAATCTACTATCAGTATTTCTTTTTTCAAAAACACTGCCCTAGGAACTACAATTCAGGTTTTCTAAGTCCCAAATTCAAAACTATTAATCAATGAATAATGCATTAAATGTCAAACAGTATTTTAAACATGTATGAGCAAAGAAAAACAACAGTTAAGAAAAAATTGGTTCTCAAAACAATGTTATACAACATCATGAATTTCTCCAACAAAGATTTGGGCTTTCAAGTTTCAATTCTGGCCCAATCTCCAATGAAATTATCTAACTTTCAACCTCAACTAGCTGATTCACTAAATTAGCAAAACATGTAAATATTCGTTTAGGGAGTCTAAAATGAAGAGTGAATGTGTTGTGCCTAACCCCTATTAACCTCAATAGGGATGGCACCAGGTTTAAGAGGCTGAAGAAGAGACCCAGAGCTGGCAAACAAGACACTGTATTTTTTTTTTTTTTTTTTTTTTGAGACAGAGTTTCACTCTCGTTGCCCAGGCTGGAGTGCAATGGCACGATCTTGGTTCACAGCAACCTCCGCCTCCCATGTTTAAGAGATTCTCCCGCCTTATCCTCCCAAGTAGTTGCGATTAAAGGCATGTGCCACCATGTCTGGCTAATGTTTGTATTTTTAGTAGAGACGGGGTTTCTCCATGTTGGTCAGGCTGTTCTTGAACTCCTGACCTCAGGTGTTCCACCCACCTCGGCCTCCCAAAGTTCTGGGATTACAGGTGTGAGCCACCGCGCATCTGGCTTTTTTTAAGACGGAGTTTCGCTCTTGTTGCCCAAGCTGGAGTTCAATGGCACGATCTCAGCTCACTGCAACCTCCGCCTCCCAGGTTCAAGCTCCTGCCTCAGTCTCCCGAGTAGCTGGGACTACAGGCACACACCACCACGCCCAGCTAATTTTTGTATTTTTAGTAGAGACGGGGTTTCACCATGTTGACTAGGATGGTCTCGATCTCTTGACCTCGTAATCTGCTCACGTTGGCCTCCCAAAGTGCTGGGATTACAGGCGTGAGCCACTACACCCGGCTTTTTTTTTTGAGAGAGAGAATCTTGCACCCTCTCACTGCACCCAGGTTGGGGTGCAATGGTGTAATCTTAGCTCACAGCAACCTCTGCATCCCCTTGCCTCATCCTCCCAAGTAGCTGGACTACAGGCATATGCCACCACACCTGGCTAATTTTTTCTGTAATTTTTAGTAGAGGGGAGTTTCACTGTGTTGGCCAGGCTAGTCTAGAACTCCTGACCTCAAGTGATCTGTAATCCCAAAGTGCTGGGATGACAGGCATGAGCCACTGCACCCAGACAAGACATGAAATTTTATTAGGGGCTTACTGACAGGGGATAGAGTCCCGTAGTGGTGGGTTGGACAGAAGAACCTCCTTACATACAGCTCAGTGGCAGCAGGCTGGACAAGATATCTACCTTAACCACAATCCAGTGATGGCAGGCTGGACAACATATCTATACTGCCCAGTGGGAGTGGGCTGGACAAGACATCCTCCTTAACTACATGCCAGTAATGGCAGGCTCAACAACATATCTACATTGCCCAGTGGCAGCAGGCTGGAAAAAACATCGGACTTAACTACAGTTCAGTGAGGGCAGGCTGGACAACATATCTATACTGTCCAGTGGCAGTGGGCTGGGCAGGAAAACCACAACTGCTTGCAAACAGCCTGCGGTTTATATCACATTTTCACTTAACACCCTCCCCTTAAAGACCTCCACCTGATAACCTTCATTTAACCCAAAACTCAGGGTCTTGATCCCTTATATGGTCTGATCCCCTGGACGGCCGGTGTTCCACGTAATGAGATGAGGCCGAGATGTTACTCACAGACAACGGATGGCCACTACCAGATTCCCTAGCTCAAAACACACATTCAGGTATGTCTGCCATACAAGTTTATTCTAATGGTATACTTAAATTATTGACATCAGGTGTATTTACAGAGTATACAAAATTAAGTCTTAGAACCTGTAGTAACACCAATCTTAGCTAGCCAAAAGAAAATTTAGTTGTCAGTACTAAATATGCACACTATGTAAAGTAACCAAGACTAGCACACTGATAGTGAATGTAGACTAAAAAATAAGTTTTTGGGACAAGGTCTCGGTCTGTCACCCAGGCTGAAGTGCACTGGAGTGACTGCTCATTGCAACCTCCAACGCCCAGGCTTCAAGTGATTCTCCTACCTTAGCCTCCTGAGTAGCTGGGACTATAGGTGTGTGCCACCACACATGGCTAATTTTTGTATTTTTTGCAGAAATGGGGTTTTGTCATGTTGCCAAGGCTGGTCTGGAACAACTGCGCTCAAATTGATCCACCAACCTCAGCCTCCCAAAGTGCTGGATTACTGACGTGAGCCACTGCGCCCAGCCTTAATGTAATTTCTTGATTCTAGACTTCAACAATTAAAAGTCATACCTTTAATAACAGTCTTTTGAAGGGAAATACCACCATATTAGATGCACACAACCTCAAAAATTAAAATGCAAAGAAGTATGCCTCTTATAACTGAGAAACTAGAAAATTTAGGAAACACCACCAGTATATATAACCAGCACCTATCATTTATTTGTTCCAAATTTTTCTAACTCAGAGTTGAACCAAAACACTACCCCTGTGCTATGTTAGCTTGCGTAGAAAAAAAAAAAAAAAAAAAAAAAAGAAGAGGAGGAGGTGGGGGTGCTGGGGGGAGTGCATGGTGGCTCCCACCTGTAACCCCAGCACACTTTGGGAGGTCGAGGTGGGTGGATCATTTGAGCTCAGGAATTTGAGACCACCCTAGGCAACATGGCGAAACCCCATCTCTACCAAAAATACAAAAAATTAGCCAGGTATGGTGGCATGTGCCTGTGGTCTCAGCTACTCAGAAGGCTGAGGTAGGGGGATCACTTGAGCCTGGGGGGCAGAGGTTACAGTGAGCTGAGATAGTGCCACTGCACTCCAACCCTGTCTCAAAAATCAAACAAACAAGAAGAAACACTACTCCTGAAGCTTTACTTATCCCAAAAGTTACTGTATCTTCCAGAGATACAAAGATAAAATTTATAGAGCCAGGTGTAGGTACATGCCTATAGTTTCAGCTACTCCAGAGGTTGAGGCAGGATTTTCTGAGACTAGGAGTTGGTGCAACATAGCAAAACCTCATCTCAAATAAATAAATAAAATTTACAATAACTTTTTGCTAAAAGCATACAGAAGTTAATCTTCTGCAAAGATGTAGTAATGCAATGTATGAAGCACAACCATAACAGTGTGCTTAAGCTCTGTACTAAAGAAAAAGTTTTAAAGTACTGCAACACACCAACCACCACAACCAATTTGCTAACCTTAATTTCCTTGTGGGTTACAATAGTACCTATCCTCATAAAGTCACTGTGAGGATTAAATGTAATGTGCTTAAAACAGAGCGTGGTATGCAATAAGTACACTGTATACCACAGGTATTAGCCTTAAAAAAAAAAAAAAAAAAAAAGAATGTTTTAAAGAAAATGCCAGGCACCTGTACAGGCAAATGGCAGCAGCATCTTGAGTCTCACTCTGAATGCCACTGCAGATGTTTCTCATTACCGTAGACACAACAACCTTAACATCCATGAGGGAGGTTGTTGTCACTCAGTTTTCCTCTCAATCTGATAATTGAAAAGAAAATAACCAACTAAGCCTAATTATACACAAAAATATAGGAAGCAGAAAGAATCAATAATTCAAAAGAAAAGCTAATAATATGAAACTATTATTCACAGATTCAGAGACCTCTTTTTATATACCACCTCATATTTGTACAGTACTCTGTAATGTCCAAGTAACTCTTAACACATTATCTCAAGTGATCCTCACAACAATCCTGTGAGGTACTTGCTTTTATTTCACATTTTGTGGATGAGAAAAATGATCCTAAATGGCATGCTGAAGGTCACACAGCCAGCAGGCAGAAAAGCTGGAACTTACAAGCTTGACTACTGTATTACCACAGGTGTCCTTCTAAATGGAGATAAGTTTTATAACACTAACACAACTTTCTGAACAACATCTTCCATATCACAGCAAACTATTATACAGCTTCAAGACATATTGAAAAATTAGAATTAATCACAGAATTACAGGACCTTAAGGATCATTTCTAGTATAATTTCTCATTTTAACATTTTTTTTTTGTTTTTTTGACACAGGTTCTCTGTCACTCAGGCTGGAGCGCTGTGGCACAATCTCAGCTCAATGCAACCTCTGCCTCCTGAACGCTAGTGATTCTCTCACCTCAGCCTCCTGAGTAGCTGGTACCACAGGTACATGCCACAGTGTCCAGCTAATTTTTTGTATTTTTGGTAGAGACAGGGTTTTGTCATGTTGCCCAGGCTGCTCTCAAGCTCCTGAGCTCAAGCAATCCAGCCACTTCAGCCTCCCAAAGTGCTGGAATTACAGGCGTGAGCCACTGCACATGGCCATTACTTTTTCTTATAAAATATTTTCAGTACTCAGGCTAAACAATTTTTTTTCAGTGTCCTCATATTTTAACATCTGCAAGCATGCATGAAGATCAAGACGCTGAGAAAACTAATAAAAGGATTAAAACATACAAACCCTGAGTATGTTTTGCCTGACTTCCCCTTGGTCCCCAACATATTTCTTGGAAAAAGCACTTCTTTATTCACAGGCATAGGTCAAATTTAAGAGTTCTTCTGATAGCTTTAACAGCTTTTCATTTTAAGTAAATGATCACCTTAGATTATCTACAAAATGTTTTTTCATTATTGCTTCTCAAACTGTTGAAGCAATTAATATAAACATAGTACATGGCAAACTAGTAGACAAATAATTTGAAGGAACAAAAAGAATCTTGTAGGCCATAGCTAAAAATTTTCAAGATTCCGACTTGATCATGCATAATTTCCTTCATTTTGACACAAACATTGCAAAATTCTCAATCTACTGCAATAATCACATGTAAAACTTACTCAAGGAGAAAAAGGTATCTCAAAGTCACATTCTTTTTCACTGTAGAAACATATTTTAAATATGTAGAGATTTTTATTGCTTAAACTTATTTAAGTACATAAGTCATTATGAAGTAAATATAGAAACACAAATGATTTAAGTATGAGATAAACCATAAAAAGTGAATTCAGGGCTGGGTGTGGTGGCTCACGCTTGTAATCCCAGCACTTTGTGAGGCCAAGGCGGGCAGAGCATGTGGTCAGGAGATTGAGACCATCCTGGCCAACACAGTGGAACGCCATCTCTACTAAAATAGAAAAATTAGCTGGGTGTGGTGGTGCATGCTATAATCCCAGCTACTTAGCAGGAGAATCCCTTGAACACAGGAGGTGGAGGTTGCAGTGAGCCGAGATCATGCCACCGCACTCCAGCCTGGCAGCCTGGCCACAGAGTGAGACTCTGTCTCAAAAAAAAAAAAAAAAAAAAAAAATGAATTCAGGCTGGGTGTGGTAGCTCATGCCTGTTATCCCAGCACTTTGCTTTGAGAGGCTGAGGCAGGAGGATCACTTGAGGCCAGAAGTTTGAGAACAGCCTAGGGAACATAGCAAGATCCCATCTCTACCAAAAATACGACAATTAGGCAGGCATAGTGGCATGTGCCTGTAGTCCCAGCTAATTGGGAGGCTGAGCTGGGAGGATTGCCTGAGCCTGCAAGTTAGGGCTGCAGTGAGCCATGATCTCACCATTGCACTCCAGCCTGGGCAACAGAGAGAAACCCTGTCTCAAAACACACACATACACACACACACACACGTGTGTGTGTGTGTGTGTGTGTGTGTGTGTGTGAATTCATGGTCTAGGAAATTTACCTTTTGACTTTTTTGTTCTAATTTGATACTGCCTCCCTTCTGTTCTCTGCCTAAAAAACAAACATATCTAGGACTTTGCTCAAATAATTCTACCCTCTTCATAGTGCCTGACATGGTGCTCAATAAATATATGTTTAAACTGAAAAACTTTCCACTAATCACTAGCATGCCATAATCCAGCCTCAATGACTAGGTAACTACATGGCAACTTATCTCACTACATCAGTGTAATTGTATAATTTTTGATCTATCAATTGTCAATGATAACTGAAAAAACCTGTTTTGGGCACCAAAGCAAGGATTTCACAACATGAAGCAAAGAAGGAAATAATTACTGATAGTTTATTTAATCTAACAAAAATATCCAAAAATTAAAAAAACACTTATGTTAAAAAGAGTTCAGTATTTTCCACCCTCTACCCTCAACAATCAACTACTCCTTACTAAGGGTCATCTACATATAAAAATAGACATTTCGAGCAGAAAATCAAACACTGCATGTTCTCACTCACAGGTGGGTGTTGAACAATAAGAACACAACACAGGGAGGGGAGCTCTACACACTGGGGTCTGTTGGCGGAAACGGGAGGGACAGCGGGGGGTGGGGAGTTGGGGAGAGATAGCATGGGGAGAAATGCCAGATATAGGTGAAGGGGAGGAAGGCAGCAAATCACACTGCCACGTGTGTACCTATGCAACAATCTTGCATGTTCTTCACATGTACCCCAAAACCTAAAATGCAATAAAAAAAAATAGACATTTCATACCTCAGTATGAAACTGAATTCAATAAAATATTATAAACCATTAAATGAGTAGAACTTTTTTTTAATAGAGATGGGGTCCAACTATTGCTGGTCTCAAACTCTTGAGCTCAAGCAATCCTCCCACTTCAGCCTCCCAATGTGCTGGGATTACAGGCATGAACCACTGTGCCTGGCCCGTGAGTGGAAATTTGTCCACAATGTATTATGAAGTGTACAGGATGGATGGAGTGGGGGGAAATGGGTAATAGTACATATACTATTATCAGGATATAAATATGTGTATATAAATATATTTGCACCTGAGTCTACAGTGTACATCAAAATGTTAACATCATGGAAAATTATCAGAGAAATTATAATTTTCTGAATTATACCTATCTAAGCATTTTCTATAACAAACATATTACTTTTTTTTTTTTTTTTTTTTTGAGATAGAGTCTTGGCCTGTTGCTCAGGCTGGAGTGTAATGGCGTGATCTCCGCTCATTGCAACTTCTGCCTCCCAGGTTCAAACAATTCTCCTGTCTTAGCCTCCCAAGTAGCTGGGATTACAGGCACCTGCCATTACACTGGGCTAACTTTTGTATTTTTAGTAGAGATGAGGTTTCACCATGTTGGCCAAGCTGGTCTCGAACTCCTGACCTCGTGATCTGCCCGCCTTGGCCTCCCGAAGTACTGGGATTACAGGTGTGAGCCACTGAGTCTGGCCACTTTTATAATCCAAAGACAATAAACCATTCATTCCACTGACCTAGGAATGCGTGGACTATTCAGGATTTGAACAAACATGCTTTTCTAACCATCTTTGTTTTCACATGAACTCATATAAAAGGGAAAAAATAAACCAAATGTGGTTACCGTGGGACTAAGACCTGCATGATATTCCTTTACTGCTCTGAGAAGTTGGAAGGGGAGTGAAGGTAAGCGGAAACACAAAATAATTATTACTTAAAGAACTATTACTTACGGCAAGAACTTTTCAGATGATTTATAATCTCATCGTTAAAACAAGACTTTAAATATAATTAGGATAATCCTATTAAAAAACAGGGAAAGAATTCAAATAAACATTTCTCCAGAGAAAATATCCAAATGGCCAATAAACACATTAAAAGATGCTCACGTTGTTAGTCATTAGGGAAATACAAATAAAACCACAATGAGGTACCATTTCACACCCACTAGGATGGCTAAAATCTGTTAAAGAGGACTAGAAATTAGAACCCTCATACTGCTGGTGGGAATGTAAAATGGCCCAAGCAGTTTGTTTTTGGAAAACAGCCTGGCAGTTATTCAAAATGTTAAACATAAGAGTTACCATATATCTTAGCAAATTCCATTTCTAAGCACATATGTGTAATTGACCCAAAACCTTGTACATAAATGTTCATAACAGCATTATTCAAAATGGCCAAAAGGTAGAATCAACGTAAATGTTCATCAACTGATTAACAGATAAACAAAACATAGTATATCCTCCATACAATGGAATCTTATTTGGCAATAGAAAAGAACAAAGTACTGATACATGCTACAACAAAATGGATAAACCTTAAAATTATGCTATGTCAAAGAAGCCAGTCGAAAAGGATCATATTTGGTATGATTCCATTTATAGGAAACATCCAGAATAGGCAAATCCTTAGGAATAGGACACAGATTCGAAGTTATGCAGGGATAGAGCAGGTGGGGTGGAAATGTGGAATGACTGCTATATGGGTACAGGGTTTCTTTTGGGGGGTGATGAAAATGTTTTGGAATTAGGTTGTGGTGATCGTTGTACCACTCTGTGAATATACTGAAAACCATTGAAATGTACACTAAAAAAAATAAATATGAAGTTTAAGGTACATAAAATAAAGCTCAAAAAAGCTGTAAAGCAAGATGTCGATAGGAGAAATAGGTGCATGGCATACAGGTACTCTGTACTATCTTTGCAGTATTTCTGTAAATCTGAAACTTCTACAATAAAAGGTATATATACAAATTAGGAAACAAGACACATAATCATATAATAAATGGCTCAAGTAAGGGAGGGCTAAAATAGCACCACAGAAGTTTGAAAAGATTCAGGCACAGTGTTTCAGATTTTAAAAGAAGTGTTGAATAAATATTAGATGGAAACAAATGAGGTTAGACCTAATCCACAGGGTCACACATAGCACAGGTTAGGAGGAAAAATGGAATTCAAAGACCTAAAACAAGCTCATCACTCATCTGACCAAACACCTTCCATTTTCTTACTTACATACAACTTTCCAAATAAATTTACTTTCTTACAACCCAAAAATTTTCAGAAAAGTCTATGCAGAAAATATACACATGCTGGTAAACAACAATGTCATTTTATCAATGTAAAACTAGCCCCTCTGCATCTTGGATTAGGATTTTATTAGAAAAGCTTTTTGGTTTTTTTTTTTTTTTGAGATGGAGTTTCACTCTTGTTGCCCAGACTGCAGTGTAATGGTGCAATCTCTACTCACTGCAATCTCCACCTCCCTGGTTCAAGCAATTCTCCTGCCTCAGCCTCCAGAGTAGCTGGGATTATAGGAATGTGCTACCATGCCCAGATAATTTTGTATTTTTAGTAGAGACGGGGTTGCTCCATGTTGGTCAGGCTGGTCTTGAACTTTCAACCTCAGGTGATCTGCCCACCTCAGCCTCCCAAAGTACTGGGATTACAGGCGTGAGCCACCAAGCGCAACAGGAAAACATTGTAACACAATTTTGCTATATCCATTTCTAAAAGGCTAAAGACCTTACTACAGCTAAGACTTCATTATCATAGAGTTTAAGATTCAATTCTGGTGAAACCTAAAAAATGTTGGAATTTGTTTTGTCTTCTCCCTATGAATAATAAAGCACTCAAAGTGTTCAAAAATAAAATATTGACTGGAAAGAGACATAGGAAATTACTGGGGGGGATAAAAATGTTCTATACCTTTACTATATTCATGGTTATACTGTATACATACACTGTTGTATGCATATGTAAAAATTCGTTGAGCCATATATACATCTTTGATCTGTGGATCAAAAGATCTGGAAATTATACCTCAATTTTAAATAATGAATTTTTTAAGTGTTCCAACGAACTACCTTATTATCCCAAAGACTGTGATATAAGAGTATAATTTTGTCTTCTTTCAGTAAAAAGAATCAGGCATGGAGAAGTAAAGCAGTTTACTTTGGTACCTCAAAAACCAAGAAGAAAAACAAGGCTACTAACTCTGTTCTATAAACTTCATGCCTCCATGGAAATTGAATCTTGAGATTATTCTACCGGGAAGGAGAAAAGAAAAAGAGGAAAAGGGCAGAATAAAAGAATAAGGGGAAAAAAAACACAACCAATCCTCATTCAACAAGTCACCTAGAGAGGACAGGCACGGTGGCTCACTCCTATAATCCCAGCACTTTGGGAGGCCGAGGCGGGCAGATCACAAGGTCAGGAGTTTGAGACGAGCCTGACCTACATGGTGAAACCCCATCTCTACTAAAAATACAAACATTAGCTGGGCGTGGTGGTGCATGCCTGTAATCCCAACTATTTAGGAGGCTGAGGCAGGAGAATTGCTTGAACCCAGGAGACGGAGGTTACAGTGAGCCAAGATCATGCCATTACACTCCAGCCTGGGCAACACAGTGAGATTCCATCTAAAAAAAAAAAAAAGTCACCCAGAATAAGGCTAAAAAATGTAAGAACCAAATCAACATCCTCTCCATCCCCAACATGCCCCCAAACGCCACATCTTGTTCTCAAAAGAGAAAATTATTTTATCTAGAACTAGTTGTGAAATAATGCAAAAGAAGTTATCACGGTCATGCTCCCTCTAAAAACTATCACAGTGCTACCACCTCTTGCATCCTTGTGCAGTTTTGTAAAAGAGTTCTAAGACACTATATTTTTATACCTATATTTTTACTTTTTTTTTTTTTTTTTTGAGACGGAGTTTCACTCTTGTTACCCAGGCTGGAGTGCAATGGCGCGATCTCGGCTCACCGCAACCTCCGCCTCCCGGGTTCAGGCAATTCTCCTGCCTCAGCCTCCTGAGTAGCTGGGATTACAGGCACGCGCCACCATGCCCAGCTAATGTTTTTTGTATTTTTTTAGTAGAGACGGGGTTTCACCATGTTGACCAGGATGGTCTCGATCTCTTGACCTCGTGATCCACCCGCCTCAGCCTCCCAAAGTGCTGGGATTACAGGCTTGAGCCACCGCGCCCAGCTTATATTTTTACTTTTATTCTTTACATGTCTGTATGTCTACAGAGAGAAGGTTAGAAGCCCATATAGGCCTCAACAGACTGATACAAAGTATGGCTCTTATTTCATAGTCACGAAATTTTAAAGTGAACTAGATCTGAGCAGTCAATTATCCACTTAATAAATAAAGAAACTAAATCTTAAAATGGTTAAGAGACTTGCCTAAGATCTTGCAGCTTAACAAGTAGAAGAGTCAAATCAAAGTTGAATCTAGCCTGCTATTCACCACACTACACTTATAGCTATGCCCAGTTAGAAACTAGACAGTACCTTATCTAAAGTGATAATTACACTCAGGAAAAAAAGATAGTTTATATTATCCAAATTCTCATACCCATCTGTTCTACAGCATCAGTCTTTTTATAAATTTATAAGAATTATAACTATTGGCTGGGCACAGTGGCTCACACCTATAATCCCAGCACTCCGGGAGGCTAAGGCAGGCAGATCACTTGAGCCTAAGATCAAGACCAGCCTGGGCCACATGTCAAGACCCCATCTCTAGTGAAAATACAAAAAACTACCCTGTAGGAGAATCACCTAAGCCCAGGAAATCAAGACTAAAAGAGCTGAGATCATGCCACTGCATTCCAGCCTGGTTGATGAGAGTCAGATGCTGTCCCACAAAACAAACAAAAAAGAATTTTAACTGTCAACTAGGTTATGGTCAGTACCTTCTTTTTTTCTGTAGTAAAATTCCCTTGGTAAACTGATTTAATACCAAAAGGTTATTTGGTGAATAAAAAGGAAAGGCAAACAGAGGGGAATGGTTTTAAAGAATATGTTTAGCAGCCAAAGACATTAATACAGTCATTTGGCAAACTTTGAAATGCCCACTAAGTGTCCAATCACTGTACTGGACTCAACAAACATAAAGATACAGGAGATTTTGGTCTAGGTAGGGAAAAGTGAACACCATAAAGTATTAAGAGCCACAATGGGAAACTTGGGGTTCTGTGGAAGCCCAGAGAAACAGCATCTATCTTAATCTGGAGGGTCAAGGAAGTCAGACTAGCTGCCTACACTCCCAAACAGTAAGATTTACTCCAGAAAGCTCAGGCTTCTATCATTCCTTTTTTAAAAATTTTTTCCTGTAGTGGCGCAAGGTACAATCTGGGTTTACTGCAATCTCTGCCTCCCAGGCTCAAGAGATCTTCCCACCTCAGCCTCCCATTGGGAGTATAGGTACACGACACCACACCAATTTTTTTTTTTAAATAGACATGGGGTTTTGCCATGTCGCCCAGGCTAGTCTCAAACTCCTGGGCTCAAGTGACCAGCCTGCCTCAGCCTCCCAAAGTGCTGGGATTACAGCATGAGCTACCACTCCTGGCATCCTTGCACTTCTTTAAAAAAGGATGTATTATGTTTATAACTAGAAAAAATATGGATGGCTATCAAAATAGCACAAAGAGGATAGGAAGAAAATGATGGAAGCTTGAACTATAAGGTTTGTAAGAGCAGAAAATTGATCTTATCTACTACTATATCACTAATTCCTTGTATAGTGTCTGGTTCGTAATAGGTACTTAATAAATGTCAGAATAAACAAGTGAATGAGTGAATAAATGAACACTCTGAAGGCTCAATGGGGAAGACACATTTCAGAAGTAAAAAAGAAAGAAATTAAAAATAACCCCAAGTTTTGCAGACTTGTAGGAGAAATGAATGATGAGCCATTAATCAAGGTAAGTAAAACTAGAGGAGGTATAAGGTATATGGGAATGCAAAGATATCACTGCAAAATGCCAATGAATTTGGTAGAAGACATACTAAGTTTCAGGAACCAGCAGGACCTCAAAATGCAGATGTCCAGCAGACAGCAGGGAAGTGCAGGCTGAATGTGCAAGTCTGAGTGTCATTTACATGAAGTTTATATCAGAGACCACAGCTATCATATACCATAGTTTATGGACTCTAACTGCTCTTAATCAACAACATAATAAGATATGCAGATCAAAATGGAATATACCCACTATTCTGGGTGCCCTGACACCCAATCTGACCTTTATCCCACTGATTTCTAAACTTATGATTATGAAATAAATATACATTATGCTTTGGAGACTTCACCTCTCATGTGTTTCCTAATGATATACAAAGACCCACAGCTATATTATATGTATATATAATATATTTTTTTCTTTTTTCTTTTTTTGAGACAGAGTTTTGTTCTTGTTGCCCAGGCTGGAGTGCAATGGTGTGATCTCAGCACACCACAACCTCTGCCTCCCAGGTTCAAGTGATTCTCCTGCCTCAGCCTCCCAAGTAGCTGGGGTTTCTCCATGCTGGTGAGGCTGGTCTCAAACTCCCAACTTCAGGCAATCCACCCGCCTCGGCCTCCCAAAGTGCTGGGACTATAGGCGTGAGCCACCGTGTCTGGCCATATTTTATATTTTCACTATTTGCTACAGAATTCTTGGCTCATAGATCCAGGGAAGAAAATAAATTCAATAAATTTGGCATTATTTACCATAAAGATACAAAATGTATATACTGGTTTTATTCACTAAAAATGGGCAAATTATCACAAAATAATGGTTTGTCACATGCTACTGATTTTTTAAAGTTCCAGTTTGAAACCTGAAATACTTTTGAAAAAAAATGTCTTGAGAGAGCATTCTTTATCAACAATGTTTTTATAAATATTTATTCTCACTATAGGACAGAAAAAGTTATTTTTTGATTCCTGTTTCACCTAATTCCAAGATTACAACATCATGATCCTTCCAACCGTCCTCACCTACACAAGTCTCATCCCTGTCCAATTCATCCTACCTCTGAGTTAAAAAAAAGAAACGGTTCATTTCCTTTGTTTCAACTCTACCTCCCAGAGTCCACTCTTCATATCTTAAACTGATCTTAGTCAAAACTAAGCTTCTATTTCCAAAAGGTCAACAAATGGGTGGGGCTAGTCTCATAAACACAGAAACAAAGGTACGATTCACGTATCTCCATGCTTTCATTCATGTTATTTTTCATACTTGCAATGATAGCCTTCTTCTTCAACATTCCAAATAGACAACACATATCAAATCCTCCTCTACTCACTTCAGCAGTCACCTATTCTTTTCCTTCCTTATATTTCCATAATATAAACCATATGGCCTTAGTTAGTTTTCATGTTTTCCTCTTACACACTGGAAAGTAAGTTTCTTGAAGTGCCATATCAAATCTAAATTCCTGCCGGGCGCGGTGGCTCAAGCCTGTAATCCCAGCACTTTGGGAGGCCGAGGCGGGTGGATCACGAGGTCAAGAGATCGAGACCATCCTGGTCAACATGGTGAAACCCCGTCTCTACTAAAAATACAAAAAATTAGCTGGGCATGGTGGCGCGTGCCTGTAGTCCCAGCTGCTCAGGAGGCTGAGGCAGGAGAATTGCCTGAACCCAGGAGGCGGAGGTTGCGGTGAGCCGAGATCGCGCCATTGCACTCCAGCCTGGGTAACAAGAGCGAAACTCCGTCTCAAAAAAAAAAAAAATCTAAATTCCTTAACAATAGTTTAGGTATTCAATAAATACTAACTCAGTGTTAAGTTTAAATCTGTCTCTAAATAAATAAATATCTAGTCCCAACCTGGTAGGGGTAGCAAATATGGCATAACTCTACCAGAGTTAAGAAAGAACATATAGCCAAGCAAATAACTGAAGCCACAGAACATGGCTTATTTCACAACATTTCCCAGTTCAGCCTATCTGGTGACTGCATTGCTTATTTTCAAGAAACTGACTTTAATGCCATAGTAGAAATAAGTTTTTAAAAAATAAGACCAGAATGAACTGAGTAGACCAGAATGAACTGAGTCACTGAATCAGAGCTAAAAGAGAAGCTATTCTAAAGATAAGAAATGAGACTCCAGGTCACACAGATAGTTGGTGGCATACAAACACTAGAACAGAGGCTTCTAATTTCTAGAAGAATAACAGATATTTATTGTGTGCCTATATGTGCCAAGAACTCTGCTACACACTATGTTAGACTAGTACACACTCTTGTATATCAAGATACTTCCCACAGATGTTCTAAAACATCTAAAATATTAATTTAAGGCTTACATTCTAATGGAAATCCCAGTGTTAGAAGAAGACAATACCCACATCTCTAACAAATATATTAAAATAGGCAGGCAGAAAGGAAAAAAAAAGGCAAGCAGGAAAGAATTTGGAATTCCAAACAATTTACTCTTCCTTTCCTGGCTATGAAAATTCACATGCTATTGTTTAACCAATAAAGAGATTAAGACCACCAAAAGGCATTTCTACCCAAATTTCATGACTCGATAATTTAGGAAAAAAGAGCATTATTCCTGTCAGAAAAAAATGATCTGTTTTTGTCATATCACAGTGCAGAATTAACTCCGCCATGGGATTAGAGTTCAGCCATCTGAAGACAAATGCTTAAGCAAAAAAAGAAACAATACTGGAATTTGATAAACACCCCTCAGGAATATGGCATTTAGCTGCTTTTTTTTTTTTTCTTTTGAGATGGAGTCTTGCTCTGTCACCCAGGTGGAGTGCAATGGCGCAATTTTGGCTCACAACAACCTCCATCTCTGGGGTTCAAGCGATTCTCCTGTCTTTGCCTCCCAAGGAGCTGGGATTACAGGCGGGCACCACCATGTCCAGGTAATTTTTGTATTTTTAGTAGAGACGGGGTTTCACCATGTTGGCCAGGCTGGTCATTGTACTCCTGATCTCAAGTGATCCACCCACCTTGGTCTCCCAAAGTGCTGGGATTACAGGTGTGAGCCACCATGCCCAGCCTAGTTGTTTCAATGGAACCTTTCATCAAAGGATCTCAAAACAAATGTTACTGACATTATCAATAACCAAATCGGTGACACAATGGCTAAAGAAAGAAATGTATCAATGACCTAAAGAATTCAATACTGATATTCTGAAACCCAGCCCTCTGTTTAAAAACAAAATCTAGTTTTGTGTGCAGCAGTGTACACAAAGAAATGTGTGCATAAAGTAATGTACATAAGAAACATATATATTTGGTCTTTGTCCCTGATTCCCAACAGAGCTCCTAAAACCCTTAGGTTTTCCTCAGTAATAGTAGTACTTTTTGTTATTCATAACATGTTACTTTCAACCACACCTGAGTTTACGTGACTCTTGGTGGGCCTCTAGATAGCTTCAGGATAGGGCTGGTTGCCAAGGGAGCCAACCAAGTGATTAGAGTATTGGTACTTTTAGTCCTCCACTTCTCAACCTTTGGGGAAGAGAGCTGGGGACTAAACCATGGGGTTTGGAATGATTCCCGGGTAGTGAATACATGGAGGTGCTGGGAGGGTGTTATGCCCAGAGAGGACATGAAAGCCCCACACCCCTCCCCTATAGCTTGCCCTATGTGTTTATTTCATTTAGCTGTTCCTGAGTTGTACCCTTTATAATAAACTGGTAAACATAAGAAAAGTGTTATCCTGAGTTCTATGAGTCTTTCCAGTGAGGAAGGGGTCATGGGAACCTGAATTTATAGCCAAGCCAGACAGAAGTTATGGGTGACCCAAGACTTGTGACTAGCGTCCTAAGTAGGGGCAGTCTTTTAGGACTGAGCCCTTTCATTTATGAGAATCTGACACTAACTCCAGGTAGATGGTACTAGAATTGAATGGAATTGTTGAACACTCAGTGTTGGAGAACTAAAGAATTCGTGAATTAGATGTGGTATGGAAAAACCCCCATAGGTAGTAATTCTTAGGCTTTATTTGTAAAGCTTGCTGATGTAACCTCCCAACTTACCTTGCTGCACATGTACAATTAGAAAACTCAAAAATGTAAGCAATACTGTCGAAAATAGTTGCTACTAAAAATAACTGGCATTAAGTTTATGCCACCTATGTGCCAGGCATTAAGCTCAGCATAAATTATTTGCAGTGTACAAAACTCTGAGAGATACTGTTCTCAACAAAAGAGACAATTAAATCTCATAAATGTCCCACTATACACAGCAAGTAGCAGAGTTAGGAACTAAAGCTAGTTTTAACACACAAATCCCTGCCAACTTCTACATTACAGCAACCTTTACTTTTTATCATTTAGTGTAAAATTATAAACTTTAACAATCCTTGAGAACAGCATCCTCAAAATGTTCTTGAAAGGCTAATCTTAAAAAATTCTCTCAAATAAAAATAAAATAGAAATCACATGTACATACCTAGTACTCTACTTGTCTACACATTTTTTAAGAACTGCCTTTTTTTTAGCATTATACTCCTGCTGACTGACAAACATTTCTTTTTTTTTCTCCTCCAGTTAGTAAGGAACTAAAGTCATCAAGACATTACATTCTCTTCAGTACGAATATCAGCAATGAGGAAAGAGGTCACTAAAAATAAAAAAATCTCTGATGGTAGTTTTATGTGGGATCGGTGGTGATATCCCTCCCCTTTATCATTTTTATTGCTATTTGATTCTTCTCTTTCTTCTTTATTAGTCTGGCTATTTTGTTGATCTTTTCAAAAAAGCAGCTCCTAGATCCACTGATTTTTTTGAAGGGTTTTTCGTGTCTCTATCTCCTTCAGTTCTGCTCTGGTCTTAGTTACTCCTTGTCTTCTGCTAGCTTTTGAATTTGTGTGCTCATCGCTTCCAGGCCTTTTGGCTAAGATCAAGTGTTGAATTTGTGTGCTCTTGCTTCTCTAGTTCTTTTTTTTTTTTTTTTTTTTTTTTTTAGACAAGAGTCTTGCTCCATCGCCAGGTGCCAGGCTGGAATGCAGTGGCGCAATCTCAGCTCACTGCAACCTCCGCCTCCCGGGTTCAAGCAATTCTCCTGCCTTAGCCTCCTGAGTAGCTTGGACTACAGGTGTATGCCATCACACCCAGCTAATTTTTGTATTTTTAGTAGAGACAGGGTTTCACCATGTTGGCCAGGATGGTCTCGATCTCCTGACCTCGTGATCCGCCCGCCTCAGCCTCCCAAAGTGCTGGGATTACATGTGTGAGGCACTGTGCCTGGCCTCTAGTTCTTTTAATTGTGATGTTAGGGTGTCAATTTTAGATCTTTCCTGCTTTCTCTTGTGGGCATTTAGTGCTATAAATTTCCCTTTACACACTGCTTTAAATGTGTCCCAGAGATTCTGGTACATTGTATCTTTGCTCTCATTGGTTTCAAAGAACATATTTATTTCTGCCTTAATTTCATTATTTACCCAGTAGTCATTCAGGAAGAGGTTGTTCAGTTTCCACGTAGTTGTGCAATTTCGAGTTTAAGAAACTCACTCAAATCCTGAGTTCTAATTTGATTGCACAGTGGTCTGAGGGACTGTTATGATTTCCATTCTTTTGCATTTGCTGAGCAGTATTTAGACTAAAGTACGATGTGGTGCTGAGAAGAATGTACATTCTGTTGATTTGGGGTGGAGAGTTCTGTAGATGTCTGTTAGGTCCGCTTGGTCCAGAGCTGAATTCAAGTCCTGGGTATCCTTGTTAATTTTCTTTCTTTTTTTTTTTTTTGAGATGGAGTCTTGCTCTTGTCACCCAGGCTGGAGTGCAATGGCACAATTTTGGCTCACTGCAACCTCTGCCTCCCAGGTTCAAGTGATTCTCCTGCCTCAGCCTCCCAAGGCTGGGATTACAGGTGCTCACCACCAGGCTAATTTTTGTATTTTTAGTAGAGACGAGGTTTCACCAAGTTGGCCAGGCTGGTCTTGAACTCCCGACCTCGTGATCTGCCCACCATGGCCTCCCAAAGTGCTGGAATTACAGGTGTGAACCACTGCACCTGGCCATCCTTGTTAATTTTCTATCTCATTGATCTAATATTGATAGTGAGGTGTTAAAGTCTTC